AAAAAAAAAAGAAAAATGGAAATAGAAAAAAATCATAAAATTAGAGCTAACAAATATTTGCTATTACATACAAATGTATGTACATACATGTCATGTACTTATTGGTAGAAGCTTCAGAGGTGACTTGTCCGTAGTTAAAACCTAGTTATTTTGAATTTCAGCTCAATACTTTGCAGTGAGGAAACTAAATGAATTATGCTTGGTTTCAACATATAGGGATTCATTTAAGTCACTGTTACAGGTAGGGAGAGGGGTTCATTTGGGGCATGCACACAGAAAGAACTGGAAATCTGTAGGGATCAGGCAACAACAGAAACTGTCAATTTGCTGCTTCTCACTCATGGTCCATATTTTCCCTCAGACTCTCACTGTCCTATGGCCAAACCTCCTCATATGTTTTTGCCCAAATTCTGGAGTCAGTTGGCCTGAAGCGTGGGTAAGCACCACCACACGTAAGTGGTGGCCCTCTGTATCATTTTATTGTAGGAGTGGCTGGCAGCCAACACAGGTGAAATCAAGGACCTCCAATTAGCGCAAGGAAAAGTCTACGTCACTTCCCCGAGCAACGACGGATGGTGAGCAGAGCCCCCTTCCCAATGGAAGGGAAGCCTGGAAAGGCAGGTATCCTGAAGTTCACAAGAGAATCACTCACAGCAGCAGAGAAGAAACTCAGAAAACCGAGTTGAGAAAAAAACACAGTTGAAGTGTTTAAATTTGATTTGTGTTGGTAAGACCAGTGATGGCGGGAGTTGCCTCTATTCACCAACCTTCCAAAATTAGAATGTGATGCACAGACAGAGCTATGAAACAAATATCTATACACTTAAATCTCAGGGGTGGGTCACCCCTAAAGGAATCTGTGATATTGGAAACAAGATTTCTAAGGCCCTTATAAGAACCCTACACCAGATGGCAGGCTGTGAAGAAAACACAATGTTTAGCATATTAATGAAAATTTATATACTTCGCCAATTTTATTGGTACAGTCTGTTTTTCTAAGAATAAAAAAGGACAGATTTCCATTATTTGAACAGAAGTTACACATTATAGCACTCAAGAGGAAAAACTGGTTATGAATTACAAGAGGGTGAATAAAGATAGACTGCTGTCAGAGCACTTCACGATGTACTGCAAGTATTTCTTTTGCTGAATATCCCTCTGTCAGGAGAATTTATGCTTATTATTTTAATGTTTTGAACCATGTATATTATAAACTAGCATGATGCAGGATATGCATCCAGTAATAATTTCTCCAAATACATGCTAATCAATAAAAATAAACACATATGCACGATACACCAAAATTCAAGGGGACTATACAAAAGGATGCAATTAGGCTGAAATTAGTTTTTAGCCTTGGTAAAATAATCTCTATTCTAGTTTATTCCTTCCATTAATTAAAATAACTTTCATAACCTAACAAAATAATACAGTTAGAAATTTCAAGGGGTATGTAATTTGAAAA